CATTTTAATTAGTCCCTAATTACGAATTCTTAATAAATCCGCTACCTGCAGCATACAATACTGCTCATGGAGTGGTGAAAATCGATCGTCGCTTCGCCGATCGACGGTCGTCAGCGTCGCTTTGCTGAAAGTCCACTAAAACTACTTCATACTGTCATAAAATTGTTGTGTTCGACTAGCCTGGGTGAAAACTGCAAGAACTTGGGGTTTTTGAAGAAAATTTAGACCTTCACAGAATCACGATTTTGGTTGTACGACAATAAAATGTTAGGCTCTGATTGTCTTTATAGCAGCTGGATCCTGATATTCTCGCAAAGGTTCGGAAGTAGACTTATCCTCGTATATAAGACAAGATATCGTCCGAAAAACTTTCGTTACGGCAAAGAAATTTAACAGCAAAATGCCTACTTCATGCAAAATGAGGTTTCTTTCAGTCACAAAATTGTTGTTAAAACATGGATACGCAATTTGTAGGTGACAAACCTGAACCAAAGAATTATGAGGGACGTGTACTCCCCGAAAAGATAGTTTCCATTAGTTTCCCTCCTTATCATTTTTTGATCTTTTCTGACCCCTGCAAGATTCATCCCACTGTTAGGGCCCAAAAATCGATATCCACAGATTTCGCTAAAACTTCACCCAGAGGCGCTATTTCTGTCGCTGATTAGAAAATTCGCTGTGCCCCATAATTACTTACTGAAGGTACAGTGCTTATCGCGGACTCGAACCCGCGTGCGGAATTTGAGTCTATGGACCTCTGCACTGTACCTCTGCATTATCGATCAATCTTGCATTGCAAGCGCGGAGGTCCGAACACCGGCGTATGCGGGCTTCAAGTCTGCAACAAGCACTTTGAGATATAGGTAAAAAGAGGAGAGTGTCAATTTTACGGTGCTGGGATCAGGAGGTGATTAGAAGACCTTTTTTTAGCATTCTTCACCTATGAAGAGAGCTCTCTTCAATGCGGAAAACTGAAGAATGGCAGAAAAAAGAGCTCTCTCGATCAGCTAACAGCAGCGAATTTAGGGGGATGCGCTTTATCCGTATCGTCTGCTCATTCGCAAATACGTGCTCGCGCCGTGCGAGTAATCTAGCATTGATTCTAAGAAAATGTTTTCATTTCGTAATTAGACATGGTGTAGCTTTTTTAATAGAGTAATAATTTAAATTAATTATTAATTTAATTTAATAATTCCATATTTGATTGGGCTGCTTCTGCGAAATGTCCAGATTTTGGAGGCTGCTACTACCGTAGGGCTATAGGGCAGATCCTTGCTGATTGTACTTCTAGGAAATCTCAAAAACCAAATTTTGGTGGTGCAGTGTATTTAACCTTGACCCTAATATGAAAAATAATTGTGAGACCTTTACAGCGACGATCAAAATTACCCAGTTGAATCTCCTTCACTTTTACTTTCTGGCTGTCATAGGGAGTCGTAACAGTTTTCTAGCGTGGACCGTCTCTACCTAGAGGTTATGTATTAGTCCTCGCAGATACTGCAAGAAGGTGCAGTTATAGGTCCTCATTTTTAGTCCCACTTAAATAAATTCTCATTCGTAAATCCTGCCGAGGGTACGGGTCGTATGTTACGCTTATAAACCCACCAGGTCAGAGTAGAGGCCCAAGCCACTTTCTAGCAATGAAAAAGTGCACGGATCCGCAGCATCATACTGTCAAGGGTGAGGCTTGTGACAATCACGCGAGCAATCTCGTTCATGTCGGGGTCATTTCGAATGCATCTCGCCAATGCAAATGCGTGTGGTGCAACGTGAACGAGGTCGCTTGTTCGATTGTCACAAGCACCAACTTTGACAGTATTACGCTACGGACCCATAGTACACCGATTAAGAGACCCTCAAAATCATGCGAACAATCTTTGGACATTTTCTGGAAACAAGCAGCCTCATTTCTCAATATTTTTTTGTAGCCAGGCCTCTATAGAGACCCAGTTGGTTAGCTAATGAATTGCTAGCATTTATCCGAGAACTGGGCTTTCTCCTAATCTAAAGTAAATCGAATTTGAGCAGGAGCAATTCCGGCTTGGTGCTGAGTAGCTGTGATAGCGCAGTGCTTCCGACTGGTATTTTTTCCCAGATTTGAACAAGTACAAAGTGGCTTATTAGCCTTAAGCAGAGGTAAAGCAGCAACTATTTATCTGCCCTCTGAGCGCCTTTCGATTTCAGAACAAAGGATTTTGTTTCCCACTTTAACCGTACTTAGCTTTTGCAAGGCACTAGAGTGGGTTGAGTAAAAGCTTTTGGAGAATGCTTACAATACTTGCTTTTAGGCCATAGAAATATTTGAGGGTTAAATGAACGAGGGCTCCTTACGTAGCAAAATAGATAAATCCCTCATCCGGTTCCAGGAGCATGTACTGGAACGCTCATAACGAGTAGGCACGTAATAACGGCAGCTCACTGCTTTGGGGATGCGAACACCTGCAAGTATGTGAAAATCACATCACTATTGCTTGCATCTTTATTGTAAGCGTCCGTCACCAAAGAAGTGTTTTAGGGCATGGCCGTACGAAGAAGCCATTAGAAGTGTGAAGGTCCTTGTTGGCGGCACCTGCACAGAGCAGAATCTGAAAGAGCACTGCACTCCAGAAGATGTTGGCATGAGAATTAGCGTCAAGAGGTGAGTATATTTGTATATGATCTGCCTAGTCTCAATGTTCTTATAAGGAATGGATCATTAGGCGAGTCAGGGGATAGACGTGCGATATGCTCAGCCAAATAGGGCTTGGAATACCATTTCCAAATATGTTATCCGTAGCTGCGACGGCCCACGTTACAAGGAGTTATACATGTTTTCCTATTGAACCCTGCTTGACTCAGATCTTGCGTATTCTTTTCGGAAATAAGCTGAATCGGTGTGCTATGCGCACATACATCCAGGACTGAACCCTTCATACACTAGAAACTTTGTAGTGACCTTGATTCATCGTTTGTATTCAAAATTTGGTAGATTGCATTACACCGCAGCATTTTACCAAGCAGAGTGTAACATGAAAAAACTTGTGTAACTTCTTGTAGAGTAAGCCTTCGCAGATATAAACGACATATTTGGAAAAGGAATTGCGAGCCTTATTTAGCAAATCATATCGCACAGCTATCTCCGGACTCGACTTATAATCGTTCCCTCTTTAGTATAAAAACAACATTACGGTAAGGTTCACCCACTTTTTTCCGTTTCATTCGCAGAAGCTATGGTGTGCCCCCTATGTACTCGCAGAATGTGCATGCTATAGAAGTACTAAATCACTGTTACCTTTAGAATTTAGCTTCTGGTGGCTTTTACGTCGATGGACCAAACTGAGAGAAATTGTGGCCAAACCCAAAAGCTCATATCCTTTCGGCTGCTGCTGTACCTTTCTAAGCTGCAGGGTCAGTGTTGGTGAGAAAGGAAAGCGAAAGTTTCCCAGTAAAATTATGTTTAGACTGTTGAGGTCGTTCGCAGTCCGATTATCTTACCTTGCTAAGGGGCTATTCATACTTCGACGAATCCGTCATCCATGCGATGCTTCCTATGTTGAAGGATAGGGTCATGACGGATATGCGCTGTGCAGCGAAGCGGTGCGATCCGACATGGCGCGAGATGTCCATCCGTGAGTGCACGCATCAAAAAAGGGATGCACTACCAAACACATGGAGAGAACAGACAGTAATAAACCTGTAGAGTGTAGAAAATTATTTGAGAATTCGTCGATAATCATGCGCAGTCATATGTTTGGAGCTTTTCCTAACGAGGGAGCCTACCCTATATACGGTGATCAATCCAGATGTCACACGTACCATTGGAAAAGGTGTCGCAGGAGGATGTAAAAGCTGGTGGGCAAATTTGCTAAACGTTCCTGATAAGCTCATCACAGTGAATTAACTGTAACTAAGAGTGTGGTGCTATCACAGTGAATTAACTGTAACTAAGAGTGCAGGCCAGGCGGCATGTGGCATAATGGATAGAGCAGTAGACTACAAAGCAGGAGGTCAGTGGTTCTAATCCTCCGCTTGATCAACGTTTTGCATTCCGTTTTTTAAAATCCTCTATACATATTACCGCTGCGATTGCGATTTCTGCAACGCCGACATCCCTTATTCTGTCTACATACTGGATGTCGACAGTTCTAGACTTTGAAACCTACTTTAACAAATTCTCTTATAGAAGTTGTTCTAAAAAGTTAAAACATGATTGCGATACGTGGTATTTTGCACATTTTCTCTCCTATGATGTTCTATTCCTCCCCGTCCTCCACGATGGTTGATCCATCTCGCGTTGTTGCTTTCTTGGCAAGCGCATTTGGATGCTGTGACATCGAAAGGCTTACTAGATGTGAGCGAAAACTCGGTGAAGCTTTTGAAAGAATCATCACAACTTCACTCATACAGCCTTTAGACGTCTTTTTCTTCAGACCATTCAAATCAATGATGAAGAAGCTCACGCAATATGTTGTCGTACATAACATCAGTTTTATTGTATCTCGGAGAGACAACATCTTGAAGCTGCTTTCTCTGGTGTACTGGACCTTCACTACGCCATGCTTCCGCCCAATGCTTTGATACCCGTGGAGAGCAGCGGGGCACACTGATGGTGAAGATGATCATTTTCTAACACCGACACAAGTATGCTTCCCACCAAATATGTGCAAGCAGTGTGAACTGTGTCGGTGTCGGTGTCGGTGTTAGACATTGAGGAACTTCCTCAATGTCAGAAAATCTCCTTTATCGTGTGTGTGCGCACTGTTCGCACCCTTCGAGGATTTTATTGTACGCGTACATTGATTATTGTACGTTCAGAATGCAGATTAGTTTACATCATTACAGTCCCGTCCTCGTTTCAAATTTTTAAAATAACTTCTATAAGAGAATTTGTTAAAGGAGGTTTCAAAGTCTGGAACTGTCGGCATCCAGCATGTAGACAGAATAAGCGATGACGGGGTTCCAGAAATGCAAGCGCAGCGGTAATATGTATAGAGGATTTTAAAAAACGGAGTGCAAAACGTTGATCAAGCGGAGGATTAGAACCACTGACCTCCTGCTTTGTAGTCTACTGCTCTATCCATTACGCCACCTGCCGCCTGGCCCGCACTCTTACTTGCAGTTAATTCACTGTGATAGCACCGTCTGAGCTTATCAGAAACGTTTAGCAAATTTGCCCACCAGTTTTTACATCCTTCTGCGATACCTTTCCCAATGGGACGTGTGACAACTAAATTTATCACCGTATATAGGATAGGCTCCCTCGCTAGGAAAATCCCCAAACATATGACTGCGCATTATTATCGACGAGTTCTCAAATCATTTTCTACACTCCACAGCTTTATTGCTCTCTGTTCTCTTCAATTATTTGGTTGTGCATCGCTTATTTGGTGCATACACACTCGGACGAATACCTCGCGCGACGTCGGACCGCACCTCTTCGCCGTGCAACGCATATCCGTGATGACCCTGTAATTCAACACAAGGTGCATCGGATGGATGACGGATCCGTCGAAGTATGAACAGCCTCTAACGCCAGTTGTATTGTCATTGCATGGTTTCTCTCCTGGCAATTTTGAACAAACTAAAGTTCTGGTGAAAACCCGAATGATGGTGCATAACGAAACTAACGCCAAGAGGGCTGAATTCTGAGGAACAAAATGCATTTGATGCTAACCTCTCAATATGTAATTTCGGGTAATTTATTCCCTTACAAATTACTGTGAAGTAGGAAGTGTCGTCTTTCACACCTTGTTAAAAGTTTGTTCCGTTATTTGACGTTATTCATTGTTTAGTTATTAAAAAGCATTGTCCCATCTCGTAATCGCATTTGAGATCCTTATGAAGTTTTCGTTTACCCCGAATATTAACCCCTTAATGGCCATTAAGTGCACGAATTTTCAGCAAAGGAGGGAGGTACTTCTCGGCTAACATGTTACTAGACGTGCCCCTTTTTAGCAAAAGGCGAAGTAGAGGGCGTGGAAAATTAGTGATTCCGTTTGGTGATACGCCTGGAACTTGTCCGGATGTGAGAAAGATGTGAGAAACCCCGCCCCCTTCTGAATGTTTAGCTCTTTGAAAAACGGGGTTTTCGTTGGTTTCAGGGTGAGGAACTTATACTATTGTAGTCAGCTCTTCCAGCGAAACCCAGCCATCTCAAAATCTCGTTTACGAGTTCCAGGTGAGACTGTGCCTTCCGCTAACGTCGAGCAGCTGTAGCTGAGAAGCAAAATAGATATTTCCCGGAATCCGGCTCAATATCGTAAACTGACCTGTTGTCATGCTACTATGCTAGATAAACCCAAATGTAAAGTTCTCATGTTCTCTCGTTGTAAAACCTGGGCATTATGACTTGGAATACAATTAAAAATTTGTGATGCCTCACAGGTTTGTTAATGAGAGTTCTTTATTCGCCTCACATTTCGGCTACACGCCGTCTTCAGAGGCCTAAAAGGAGTCAAAATTTCACTTATCTACGTTTGCTACCTTCGTCTGAGGTAGGAGTCACTAACTAATCAGAACAGACATGCAACGTACCGATCGTTTCAGTGATAGAGCGGAGCAATGTGCAATCGCTAGCTTTTTGTCGCCTGCAGCAGTATGAACGAACTAAGCAACTCAAAGCGTTGCACTGACTTATATAGCTGCGGATAACCTCATAGATCGCATGACGGTATAAACGGCATCAGATCACGCGTTATTTATAAATGCTCATTTCTGCTATTTATGCTAGGATTACGCTCAAGAATCCAGGCAGCTTCCAAAGTGGTATCGCAAAGAGCGCTGTAGGAACATCATATTGCACGCACAATCTGCTCTCCCAGTTGCGGCAAAACGGGCAGTAGTTTGCAACATGTTAAAAACAACAGCAACCATCTCTAGCGGTGCAGCTGAACGACAGGAATCATTGAAGATGACTACTGCTATCATGCTTACCAATGGCTATCCACTGCAACCCAGACAAGCGAGAAGACCAAGAGTAATGAACGCAGCTAATCAGATCACCTCTAAGATTCCGTTATACTTGCCGTTCATCTCCGATAGGATAAGCTCACCTATCAAAGAGTGCGTTAAACAGGCTCAGCTAGCAGACGCTGTTCGCCTAATAAACATTTCAAATAGAAATATCAAACAGCCTCTGGTTCGTAACAGACTGTATGATAAAGCCTGCACTTCGCCTAGCTTCGTAATTTGTCCTTATGGAGTATCAGGTGATTGTATGAAATGTGGGGTTGTCTACAGAATAGAGTGCTTAGATTGCCATGGTATCTATATTGGTGAGACCGGCCGCCCATTCAGAGTGCGAGTAAATGAGCATTTAGCGAGCAAAGGAAACCAAGCTTGATAGGTCTGCTGGGAAGGCACAGAAGGGAAGATCATGCGGGAGACGACTTTGATGTGATGTGTACCATCTTAGCACATGAGAACGAAATATTTGCTCAAAAAGCTTCGGAGCCTGGATTCTTGAGCGAAATCCTAGGATGAATAACAGAAATGAGCACTTATCCATAACGCGTGATCAGATGCCGTTTATACCATCATGCGATCTATGAGATTGTCCGCAGCTATATAAGTCAGCGCGACGCTTTTAGTTGCTTAGTTCGTTCACACAGCTGCAGGCGACAAAGGGTTAGCGGTTGCACATTGCTCCGCTCTTTCATTGAGACGATCGGTACGTTGCATGCCTGTTCTGGTTCTTAGTGACTAGTACCTCAGACGAATCGGATATACAAGAGTTGAGGAGGCATTTGGTGGTAGCAAACGTAGATAAGTGAAATTTTGACTCCTTTCAGGCCTCTGAAGACGGCGTGTAGCCGAAAAGTAAGGCGAATAAAGAAGCCTCATTAATAAACCTGTGTTGGCATCACAAATTTTTCACTGCATTCCAAGTGCGAAGCAACTGACAAGCCAGTGTATCTCTGNNNAAAAAAATTGGCAAAAATTTCTTCTGACCTTCCAAAGTTGGTTTTGTTTAACTTACCGCAAGTTAAACCACTGGATAGCCTTATAATTTAGCTGAGTGCAATATATCCACTGTATTCTGGAGTATAGGTGTTCTTCTTTTGAGCAGATCGGCAACCCGACCCTGTCGCTCAAAAGATTTAATTACATTGACGTCAAGCATACTCGTCATATACTTTTGTTTGCTAATTGTAAGAAAAGTTTTAATCCTATGAAATAAAGGGCCCATCATCTGCATCATCGTAGGCTAAGTACCACGGAAATGGCGCAATAAAGAAGTTTTCAGCAAAGCAGATGCAGTAACGTAGTTGTCATGCATTCTCCGAGTAATTCCTTTAGNNAAAAAAAGAACATAAAAATCGCAATCGAAAAGTTGCAACATCAGTATTATTCGCTAATATAACTAATTGTTTGCGTATAAGGCTGTCGTCACAAAGCGGCTTTTGCAATGTACCATACTTCCTTACGGCCTACACTAAAACGGATTTCGAACCGCTGTATGCCATACACAAGGACTATGATGCCAATGCCTTTTCACCATTCGAAAGTTGGGTCAAAACACGCATTAATGATTTTGGTCATGCCTTAGTAATTCTCGGCATTTCTCCGACTTCATTTCCTTTGGCTCAAAGGCGGCGTACACGAAAAACGTGGTTGTGGGATTTTTGCACAGAAAAATAGAGGGTCAAAAGATGAGGAGGGCTTTCAACGTCCACGCCTCCAACAGCGGCTCTAAGCCGAGAGCAATCTTTATCAATATGAAAAGAGCTCTTAATTTACACGACGATGTGTCAGAGTACGTTTTCAGTTTTTGACCTGAAGATAAGCGTTATTCGTTTCGGCTGGCCCACAACTGCTTCAATTAGTAATCGAAGACAAAGCCAAAGAAGTCAGTACTGCTTGCTTCGGCCATGTTCCTGCAACTGTACACTGACGCATCGTTGTATGTATTCAAAGCCTCTGTCAGGCTGATAAGTGTTTTTCTCGGCGCAGAGCAGTTGGTGGAGGTTCCAACCTTGAAAGCGGTATTTGTCTGGTGATCCTTTACTGTTCCACGCAAAAATCGCACCATTTTTCGCGTATTGTGCATTTAAATGCAATGAAAGCTTGAAGTTAAATGCCTCCCCCCACAGATCCTCATCGAAACCCGGTAAACTATTTAGCTTTAAACGCCTTAATTTTAGCACACTTTCAAAAGACTCAAGCACAGCACATGCAGTAAATGACCTTTCATCTTAAACGGTAACGACTGGATTGCCTGTGAGAAAAAATTATTTTTCTTTCCCCTCCCCTCCTTCGACTCCACACGGGCACTTTTGCCGGCAAAATATTACGTTGGAAAGAAAGTAATGAGCCTTTCCTACCTACAATTTTTAAACAATTTCTCAAAAACGTACCGGAGGGTGGACCAAAGCACCGTCGGAGTCCACGACCTTCTGCTAAGGTTCGGGTAGACACTCGTCAAGGGAGTAGTCTCTTTTCTTGAACCTGGCGAACCAGCGCTTTAGCGTGTCGTAAGACACAGTTCCTTCGCCGTACAATTTCTTGAGTTTGTGGTGAGGTGCCTTTGCGGAGTAGCCGTCGGTGAAGACGAAAGTTGAAAATGTCGAAGACGAAGTTTGTCGGGGACGAATTTAGCCGCCATACTAGGGGAAGACTACTGAGTAATGATGACGCAATTTCTGGGGATGCTGACCTACCACGAAATAGTTCCATTCCTGCTCTCATAGGAAAAACGTAGTGATTTTTCAAAGCTAGGGTGCATTACTCTGTTTCCAACCTAATAGTTGCCCATTTCGGAATCCACGTTTAAGCATACAGTATAGGTTGTACTGCAGTGGCGGTCCGAGGGGGACGCCCATCCTTCCCCCCTCCCCCCTCTCCTCCCCCCGAGAATGGGTCCGAAAATTTTCAAAAGTGGAGGCCAGAGAAAAAGTTGAAAAAGGGGTGAAATTTTTGAAAATAATTTTAATTGTTGATTGAAAATATCGATTTTTTATTGGTCTGAGCCCC